AGAGAAGGTCGATCACTGCAGGATTTGGTCATTTTCAATTGGTTTATTGTATTCACGAAGTGAAAGAAGGGCTGTGTTCAATGCTGTTAGTGCAGTGAACTGTTTGTTAGTAGTCCTCTCGGTTGTGTACTGGGACGTGACGCCGACAGGAGAAAGCTGGAGTGCGGAGACACCAGCAGACAAGCGAGAATAGTGACGAACCAAATGCTGAAATCTTGGTTGGGACAAATCAGACGTTCAGCATTTCCCCCAACCAAGGACCATGCCGTTTGCTCTTTCCACTTCCTGAAGATGAATGTGATTCTTCCTGGCGACTCTCCTATCTCTCGTAACATCTTCTGAAGACAGGTGAGACGACGGGTGGTGGAGATTGACGAATGAAATAATGTCGTAGGTTTGAAAGTTTGCTGAAAATGTCTCAGGAGAGATGGCGAATTCCAAGCATCTTGTCCTGGAGGAAACCATTTCCTAGGCACGGTCAGCCTAGGGAAATGCATGAGAAGGGCGATAAATAGTTCACGGCACTAACAGCATTGAACACAGCACTTCTTTCACATCGTGAATACAATAAGACAATTGAAAATGACCAATTTCTGCAGTGATTGACCTTCTCTGTGGAGGAGCTAAGCCTTTCATACGTCATCACTGCTCTGGTCGCTATGGCAACGTGAGCATACAATTGGCGATTTGGCAAGTTTGGCTTATTGTATGGAAGCGAGAGATATGCCATTCGAACCGATATCAAATTGTCTTTCTTCTGGACCCTACTCGACAAATCGATGCACTTCCCCTTTAACGGCGGCGAGTGTCCACAGCAAGGTGGACAACCTGAAAACAAAGGCCCGGGATCTCTACAAGAGATATAGGAAGAAAACGGAAACCGGTTCTCCTTTTGGCAGCCCAGGCCAAGATTCTGCCTACGACCTGCAGACTGCTTTTGTCACATGGACTAATTTCAAGTCGTGGCACAGTACGTTCAAGTGTGTTCCTGGCTACGGGCCTCTGCAGAGTATTGACTCCACAACAGTAGTGGTGAGCACTGTTGATATTGCTAGCCTGACAGTCAGTACACCGTCAGCGCAGTCCCAGGCAAACTCAAACGTTGCATCAGTGTCGCGTGCCAGCAGCAGCAGCAGTCCATCACTGTCAGTGTCACCACTAGCTTCCACCCCTACAACGGTGAGGGCAGGTACCCGGCCAGCACTGACAGTGGATAGTGATGATGACGCTAGAATGCTTGATGATAATTATGCTGTACACGCCATGCAAGACAAGACCAACGCCAACAAAACGACCAGCAACATACACTACGGACGAAGAAGACGACAGCGATGATGATGAGGATGGTGACATTGTAGAGGTCTTGCAGGCTGAGAACAGGCAGGACGTACAACAGCCACAGCAGCAGCCACAGAAGCAACCCCAGCAGCAGCCACATCAGCCCCTGCAGCAACAGCTGAAGAAGAAGAAAAAGAAGGTCGAGAAGAAGGGAGGTGCTGTTACCGCACAGGCAATAGCAGCAGAGGCGATTGTCACTGCCATCACTGACTCCCAGGAGATACAGCAGAACCACTAAACATTCCTATCGACTATCATCAACCAGCACCAGACCATGATGCAGCAGCATCAAGCTCACACACAAGCCTTGGTTCAGGGACAAATGGACTTCCAGGCACAGCTGTTTCAGAAGTATTTGAAAGATTGAAAGATCACTGCTATAGCACGCTTCGCTTCTCGATATACCCTGGGATATTTTTTGTTGTGTATTCTTTCTTTTTGAGATCAACTCTCAAGGTATGAATAGTCTTCACTCAATGCATTGCATGCTATCAGACTAAATCACAACATAGTATGTACATGTAGAAATCATACACTGAGTGCATATTGCATGATAGTCCTGAATATTCTACAACACGTCTGGTACATTGATGCCAGTCCTGAAGATGAATAAATACAGCTGCAATCAAAACAACACGCTGCCGCAATTTATGGTGTGTGCACATATGCAGCGAGGGCTTCACGAATAGCAGCAGCAGGGGAAGAATTGACTGCCACGAGTGGAAGGGGTTCATAGTTGACGAGCTGGGGCAAGTAGTCAACATGTCTGCGTTTGACGATGTTATGCAGTCCACAGCACAGCAAGCCAACCTGGCTAGCAAAGTGAGGATCCTTGATGTTGCACTCATGAACAACAGAGAATCGGACTTTGAGACGACCGAAGGCACACTCCACGACACGACGTGCTCGGATTTGAGCGGCATTGAAACTGAGCTGCTGCGGCGTGAGCTGTCCATCGTTATGATAATTATATCTTCATCGTAGTTGTAGTGAGGGCAAACGCACTGTCGCCAACTAGATACGGACGAACCATTGCATTGCCACACATCCCCGTCGTCGCATTCAGCCATACTTTGCTGATGATATTGGCTTTCAGTTGGCTGCTATTGAACACTCCAGCATCACCTACGCTTCCAGCGGCTCCGATATCCACAAATGTGAAGCGACTTTTGCTGTCCACGCATGCCATCAGCAGGATAGCTGAGAAGCCCTTGTGGCACCAATAGGTGTCAACGTACTCTTCTGGTTTTTGGATTTTCATAAAAGTTCCATCCACTGAACCCGCACAGAAGGGAAGATTGGACAAGGCCTCAAATTGACGCATGATGCGGTTCAACTGCCGTCCCACAGAAAAGACAATACTGTCCCCTGTGACTGGTCCCACCAAGGCTGTCACAAATTGATGCACAATGCTGGCCATTGTACTGGTGCCGATCTGGAACAATCCAGCAATTTCTGAATAGGTTTCTGCATGTGCTAGGAAATACAGCGCTACTGCAAAGCGCTTGCTCACTGGAATTGTCCGTCGTACTTCAACATAATTGAGTTGTGGCTCGCTCTATCAAATTACCGTAGCGCTGCACAAGGTAGAAGAACGTTCGTTTTCTCATTCTGAAATGCGTCCTCCATTGGCCAATCCAATATTGCCTTGATTCGAGTCTAGCTCTCTCCCAATTACCCAGTACCTCCTTCTCCCCAAACTCGTCACATGTAGCGTATTCAATTTGTGGATGGACTGTCCACAACAGACGCTCCTCGCCTCCAAGCTGTTCACCCAGAAACAGGTGAAACAAAACTGGAATCCACAAATGCAGTGAATTCTCAGCATTCCCAAACAGTTCAACCATATAGTTCTGAGGCGGAAGCTGTTGTGTCACAAAACCAGCCACAGAAGTAGAAATGGCAAGGGGTGCGGCAATTCTTCGCCGACGTCTGTCACGGGCATGGCGATCCATGTCAGCGAAGAAGGATTTCCTTGCGATATCACCAGAAATTTACAACGATCAACGAAAATTTGATGTGTTTTCAGATCGCCAGAAACTGTTCAAAAGTCTCGCGAAAATGTGGAGATGAAATATTATGTCCCTCTCTTCGAGGTAGGCGCCCGTAATTTTTTTAGCATTTTCGGTACAATCCGCGAACCCAGCACTTTGGGCTCGTGATGCAGCATTTTGGGGGAAACGGAGCACTTGGCCGTTGTGTATCAAAATTGAGAGAAGAAAAACTTCCCAAACAAGAACGTCACTTCCGCATTCCGTGGGTTAGCTTCTTGTTGAGTAGTTTATGAATTGTTTACCATGGCAAACTCGAGCAAGTCTCTTATTGAGTATTTTCTGACTCCCTGGTTTTGATGGCGTGTGCTGAGGATGACAAAAAAGTGAGCATTTTCCGAGTATTTTCGGCAAGGTTTGGGAGCATTTTCGGCAAGGTTTACGAGAATTTCCCAAAAGCACTTTCGGCAAAGTTTCGGGCATATTACACCGGGGCCTACTTCGAGGCGAAGGTAAAAAGTGCATCACGTGACGCGCATCGCAAATCGTGTGTGAACAGATTTTTTTTCAAGTCGCCTTCAACATACTTTTGCAGGCAGTTGCTTTTGCGTACTGTGAATGCGGCCTAAAATTACATGTTTTACAGTAACTTGTAAAATTTTGCTCCTCTCTTTAAATTTTGATCTTTGACTCTTCATCCGAGTCTGGTAGGCACTTCCCGGCTCCATTTCCTTATCCACAAACTTAACATGCACAAAAAAATTGAATGTAAAAAAGAGAAGAAACGCATGAGAACGAGTCATGCAGCAACTATCCACGACTGCAACAAGATGATAAACGGTCAGAAAGTGCGATAATAGGGCACAAAACTGACAGGTTACTGAGACATTCAGTGACCCGAGACTGATCACTGGCTCAGTATCCGAGTTAAAAAAATTGAAACATACTGATTAACGCTGGCGTTACATATCGTTCCAGTGACGTCTATAATAATTATGTCAAGGAGAAGCACTGTGATATACATGTAAGAACCCAAACAGTAAACAGTATGGTAACCTTGACCGTAACCAAACAGTACGGTAAGCTTGATGCTGCCAGTCTTTCTTTATCCTGAACGGGGTTCTGAGTCACGTACTGCAGTGAGGTGAGCCAATTAGTAGAATCATTTCCAAAATCCGCACCAGAGGCCGGGGATTTTAGTGTGCGTCCGCTCACTAGCCAATAGACTAACGTCCTCAACATTCCTTTAGAAGCTTTCCCCTCTCTCTCTGAGAGACCCACGTTACCGGATTCTGTCAGGGAGCATAGCATATGTGTGGTATCTGTATGAGCAGTAAGGCGTGGCTCACTATGCCTCTCTGCCTGTCTTAGACTCTTAGTTTCTGTCTCTGTATCGGTCTCTGTCTTCGTCTCTCTCTCGTCAAGAAACCAGACATGGTTTTGTTATGGATATCACAAATGCAAAGTACAGACATGCAGACAAGCATTAGCATCTGGTGCTCAGTGAACAGCCTCTTGAACATAATGACACTCCAATTATAGATACCATACATGGTGCCACTCCACAAGGCACCCCCTCTACCCCCTCCCCCCTCCCATGCCTACATACCCCCCCCCCCCCCGCCGGGCTTGGAAGCATGCACAAATACACACACACAATCAACAATCAGGGAAATGGCGGATATGGCATTGTGCAAGACCGAGATTCCCTGAAAGAGAATGTTCACGTGAAAAACCATTTCAACATCGAGATATGAGTTGATATACACAAATAGTTAAATGGAAATGGATATGAAGTACGAAACAGTTCTACCGGCAAATCAAGTCGGAACATGAATATGAAGAGGAAACAGTTCAGTCGGTGGATTGAGTCGGGGCATGAATAAGAAGGAGGAAACAGTTCTGTCGGCGGATTGAGTCAGGACATAAATATGAAGAAGGAAAGAGTTCAGTCGGCGGATTGAGTGTGGACGTGACTATAGAGGTAAGAGTAATATTCACTTAACCAATCTGGGTATAATATGTTACAGGGGATGAGGCAGCGTAAAACTAGACAGTTACTTGTCTTGACAACCAGAGAGATGTGAAAACAAAGATTAGCAACCTTCTGACGATAGAAAGAAAGTGAAAAGCAGTACAGTTTGCATACTGTAGTTATCATCAGTGATTGACTGTAGTTAGTAACCTACTACACTCACACACTCATATCCAGTGTGTACAGAGAACCAGGATTGTCAGGTCCACCTACACTGAGTACCAGGGTACTGCAAAACAGTGTGAGAGATGGGGTGAAACGACTGTGCTCTGGCATAGCTGGTAGTGGATAGACCTGACCAGATGAAATATCATGTACAACACTCTCAGCAGAAGGAGTGTGGGGGAAAATAGCCATGCAATGGTCAGACAGTGCGCATGCTGCACTAAACTTCAGCTTTACACCAGCAGGCGGACTGGTGGACACCCACCTACCATCATGGTGTTTGAAAAAACAACCAGTAATACCACCAACTAAGTACAGTGAATCAGGGAATGTGACAAGTGATGCTTCGCAGCATGGTAGTGGCAATGAAGGTAATACTAGGCTAGTATTGGATGGTGAAAAAAAAGAGCTCCACTGCTTGCTAGCTAGAGAATAAGTACTAACATGATTGTGCCTTGTTGCAACATGCTGGCCACCATATAGAGAAATAGCATCATGGCATGCATGTAGAGTACACCAGCTATGGACACTAGTACACTGCGAGACGTCCGTCAGTTTCGTCCACTGACCACCACCACCACCACCACCACCACCACCACCACCACCACTGCGGCCGCCATCACTGTTATCTGGTGTGTCGCAGTACTGCAGAATAGAGCGCACCCATGTGTTGCTGCTCTTGGTGTATATGTCACAGTGCATGTACAGCATACCACCATGGGATGCCAGTGATGGGGCTTGCAGCTTACTGTATTCACTTGGTAGGTCAATACTGTGCCATGTCTGCAAGTCTGATGTCTCCATCATCTTGGTGATGTTCACACCATCATACCACACAGCAACCAGTTTGTCACTGTACGTGGCAAGCTTGGCATTGTTGCCATGCTGCTGTACTTCCGGATGTGAAGTATTCCAAAAACTAAATAATCCCATTCCAGGACTTCTTGTTATCTTGTTCCACTGCATGACAGAAGAGAACCACATACACACACACACACACACACACACACACACACACACACACACGCACAAACACACACATAAACACATCTTGCCTTTCACATTGACATACAGCTGCCGTTATACGGCTAAGCTGCAAAACCATAAACACACATACACACACAAACACTGTAATACACACACTTACAAATTCCTACATTCATATTACAGACATTCACATACACAGAAGCACACACTCACACACCCACACTCACACACACACACACACACACACACACACACACACACACACACACACACACACACACACACACACGCACACACACACACCACAGAAGCACCCACTCACACCCACACTCTCACCAACACCCACACAACACACCCACTCACCCCCCCCCCCCCCCCACACACACACATAAAACAAACGCACACATGGAAAAACATGCGCAGAAATGGACATTAATTGTTTCTTCGGACGTAAATGGTCAAAATGTAGACCAGGAGGTAACAAGTTTTCAGCTAGTGTTTTCCTAGTTTTCACATTGATGCAGGGTAGTTCGCCTGATTAGTCTGAAGAATACGTTCGAACAAATATATTGACCCTATCAGTACTCAAACCACGGACCATAGCTTGAGGCCAGCGATGCTCTAAACATTGAGCTATGGTGTAGCTGGCATTCCGGCAGAGACCGTTCAAATACTGTGGTGATGGTTTTATGTGCACGGTCTTTAGCCAACACTGAGGGCAAGTTCAAACTTCAAAATCAGCTCTTGTCTGTTTCAGTCAAGTGCAGCCAAGCACCCTTTTCACATGCGCTGCAACTTACGTGTACCTGGTGCAACGTTTACAGAGCCAGAGAGGGTTTGAGCCGGGTTACGTTCAAGTGTGGCTGCTGCACGTAAATCGGGAAGTCGTAAATGATAGAGGTAATCTTTTTACGACTGCGATGCTATCCTGTCAGGATCATAGGTGTATGAACAATGCTTTGCTTTCATCATCATACATGTAAGAACAATGCGCACTGGACACTCGGTTTGTATGCGCCTATCGCTTTTGCCTGCTGGAGCATATCACCTTGAAGTACAAAAAGTGCCCTCGACTGAAAAGGATAAAAAAATCATAGTTGGGTTTACGTGCAAAAGTAACAATTTGTGTCCATTTCACCGTCTGCAAATGGCTAGGGAAGATTGCAGTGGGTTAAAAGACTGTTATTTGTTGTTTAGAAATGTTACATTGTACAGGTGGCCTATCTGCAGGAATTAGAGCATGATATTGGCCTATGCAAAGCTATCTAGCAAAGTAGACCCTATGGAGAAATTGATAAAAAGAAAAGAGGACCAAAGAGCTACAAGTTACCCTATAATATCCACTAACACCAGCAGTTACTTGACAATCAGCTCATGCGATAACATTGCACAACACTGACCAACGGTACTGACGTTTTACACCTAACTGTCAATCAGCTCTAGTACATCTTGGACGCGCACTCCAACAGCCTTCCAGTTTGGAAGGTTCTAAGTTACAGAAATAACATTGGAGGGGAAGGGGAGGGGGAAGGCTCCTTGGTCCTCTTTTTTTCTTATAAATTAATCCTTGGTCCTCTTTTCTTCTCATAAATCTAGGTAGTGCTGTTAAAATAAAATAAAAAACCAACGTTCGCACCAGTTTTGGTATTGGGCTACCTTAACCCTCTCAGTGTCACGGGCGACTTTAGCCGCCCAAAATGAGTATGTGTGTACAATAAATTCGTATCTCCACTTTTACATACAGGAGAGTTACAAACGACCACTCTACGTGTTCAAAAAGACCTTGACTATCGACTCATCACATCGTTTTGTGTCCGTGAGGATAGATATCGCCAGGGCGAAGCCTGAAGCGCGCTCGCTCAAACAAACAATTGTCGCCCGTAGAAAACATGACGTATGCGTATCGCGGGTTTCTCTATTTCTTTCCCAGCAACCCATGCGTATTGCTTATCAAAACATCGAGATTTTCAGTGGCTTTCATGCCAACTTTGTCCAAATTTCGTGCGTTGAAAGTTGACTGCACCGCGATCGATCGCGCGTGAGAAAGTGCAGATGCTACGAAAATGCAGAAAACGGACTTCGCTCAGGCGCCCTCGCGAGGAAGACTATTTTCGCTGCATTTTCTCTTCACAGCTGTGTGCCTGGCCACGATATCTTCCCAAAGAGCCATCGTTTGTAAAGATCCGTGGATATAAAAGCTGAGCTATGAAAAATTTGAGTTCAGCTGAACTCAGAAAAATTCATATTTTTCTGACCCCCTTGGCACTGAAAGGGTTAACGGGTCTAAGCACCCCCAAACCGGGTCGATGACCCGGTGCTGGGGCAGACGCTGGTTGGGTTTTTCCTATTCAAAAAATAAAAGAATATTGGCATAGGCTGTGCTATGCTTCCCATGGTGGAAGCTGATTGTACGCGATGCCATTCAATTTAATCAGTAATTTGTTAGCACCATGCAGAGATGTCTAGTGAGGGGCTGTAGACCCATTGGTTTCACTATGATTGTGTAAACCACACAATGGCCGCATATTGACATTAAACACCGCGTAAGGGCTGAGAATTTGGAAATATTATCCGTAATATCCATCGCAATTTTCGTGATTGTTTGAAATACATTTGTGAGATTGTCAGTTGGGAAAGGGAAGGGTATGTACTAACCAGACATAAAACAATCTTCTAATCGATACCGCCTGAACTTGCTACTGGAAGTACTTGTAAGATCAAAACAAAAAAGACTCATCCAATCATACCTTTCTGCGATTCTTGATGTCTGCAATCTGTGTTAGGGTTGGCATAGCAGGTAAGACATGATATCCTCTATCAACGGATGAAACAGCTGTGCTTTCAGCTGCTGTAGCTTCAGCCTGAAAGGATCAGAGATACAATATCCATAATACCTCAAAATTATACAATATCATTGATTTATTTTACTAGTATCTAAGTTACGTGAAAACCATACACACACCATACACACACCATACACACACCATACACACACCATACACACACCATACACACACCATACACACACCATGCTCAAATCAAGTGGAATCTGTGCTGCAAAATAAGAATATTTCAATCAAATTTTCGGCCAGGAGCCATGATCAGGATTGAGGAGAAAAACAAGTGAGGTGGACCTATATCATGAAACACAAAGTGGAATGAAAGTATCTGTAAGCATGACAAAGTGCTAGTGACTTTGGGTACAATTGTATAGGAAAGTTGGTTGCTCCTAACACAGGAGCTCGTGCTGTAACTCACATAGCTATCCGATATTCATGAGGTGCTTGTTGCATTGGAAACTATGCACGAATCTGCAGCAAACTGTCACCGTGGGGGAATGAGGCCCTATCTGGGATAAAAAAAAGGAGCCACATTTGGGCAAAATAGCATATTTGGCCTTGTGCGGATGTTTTGGTCGCTACCGACATTGACTCTGTTGGATATCGTACAACAGAGGTATGTCAGTCAACTTACTCTCGTTGCAGTAGCAGAAGCAGTGGCAGGAGCAGAGGCAGAAGCTGAACTTGCCCGGCTGTCTTGTGCAGCAATGGTACTAGAAACAGGCACCTGTAGTTCAGCAAACAGGCACAGACACACACACACAACTGGTCCTGGTCCTGGTAAACACTGCCATTACGGTCACGTGTCCCCTTGCAAGGCCGACAACATGGAAACGACGAGTGACGGCAGTAGGTCGGCAGTCTGCCAAAAGATCAGGGACCATGTTCAATCGGCACGACGAGAGAGCCATATTTGGTAGCTATGGATTTGGGATCCACGAGTAGAGCGGCAGCACCGACCACAGGCCCCACAGTGGGCCTTGCTGCATGAGAGGGCGAGCCATACACGCGGCGGCGGAAGAGTCACCTGAGCAGCAATGGTAGACACCGCCACCCGGCAAGGAGCCCGAGACGATGTCGCGGGAGCATCCGGGAGTTAGGGCACTTGTGTTCGGCCAAACCTCCGGCACTGCATAACCAGCGCTCGCAGGAAGAACATTGCACACACACACACACACACACACACACACACACACACACACACACACACACTAACACACACACACACACACACACACACCTTGGTCTTTGGTAACACTGCCATCAAATGGTCACATGTCACCTGTGCAGGGGTCGACAGCACTGAGTTCAGCATTGGATCCAGAAACGCCGCTCTACTTCCTGGACAGGAAATTAGCACAGCTATGCAGGTCGAAACCACGGGATGACTTGCAGCAGCGACCACAGCCGAGACAATGCGCTCTGCAGCAGGGCAGGGCAACCCGCTGTTTCCGGACCGAGTCTGCCGATGCCACAGCCGAGACCGACGCCCCTTCAGCAGCCGAGTTGGAGAGACCCTTATGCGAAGCTAGCCCGCCAGCACTCAAGAACCATCTCCCGCACACATTACATAGTCGGCTGCCGGATTGCTCAGATATGGGCTTCCTCCTCTCGGCCAGGCACTTGTGGCGATTCTTGTATTTCTGGTGGGCGAAAGTACGCTGGCAGACATCGCAGAGTACAGAAGTGTCACGCTGAGCCGATCGTGGTACTGGTTGAGCGGAATACACACTGCGCCATTTACCACGCTCCTGGGCACACACACACACACACACACACACACACACACACACACACACACATCTCTGACCTTGACTATTTTGACGTCCATCTCCGAAAGCGATGATAGCCATGCTACAGCAGAAGCTATAGCACCTTCTGCTGGGATTGCACCATTCAACAGCTTGCAAGGCTGAAGAATTGACCGTCACTATTCAGCATGGTCTATACCACATAGCTATGAAGTGGCTTTTTCTGGCCAAGGAATGCCTACTTTTTGGTCTTTTTCGTTTTGTCCCTCACACTCATCACACCACTTCTCCTGGGTGGTTACCAACAGCCAGTTCATGCCGGGCACAGACACACACACACGCACACGCACGCACACACACACATACATACACCGGTCACTCAGAGCGGCTAGCTCGGCGTCAGACGAATGACCTCCCTCCTCGTACTGAATCGTGATCTTCACATTGTCGATAGCATCGCTTTGCGCGACGTAAAGAGTGATGGTCTAGCCAGGAAGAGTGTTGACGAAAATCTGCATCCCACCACGGAGGCGAAGTACCAAGTGAAGAGTGGGCTCCTGCTTCCGACTGCGTGCCGGCGAAAATCAAACGCTGCTGGTCTTGGGGAATACCCTCCTTGTCTTGGGCAGCAGCCTGCCTGTTGTCGTCCTCATAAGCTTCGTCATCACCACCGGTAGTATACATGTAGGTAGCGGGTCGCTTGGAATCGCCATCGGAGCCACCAGTGTGTGCCGTGCGTAGGGAAGGGTGATCCACGCTAGCACCCTGACTGTGCTGCAGGCTAATATTAATAAGCAGGGCAGGGCCCAGGAAGGCAAGAAACATGATTCTCATCTTGATTCGTCGCACGTAGCTGCTGCGGGTTGAGCCATGGGGGTCTGGGGTCGAATCACGTTGTTTTATTTAAAACTACACCGCTGCCACCAATGTAACAGGTAGCCGAGTGGTAGGCGCGGTGCAATTAACACGAGTTATCTTTTATTATTATTCTCTTAGGTACACACCTGGGATATAATTAGAAGTTAAAGAAGAAGCGGCAAATAAATATGATTCAAGTTCTCTCCGGTGCACACCTGGAGGTTGAATACTTCTTCTTCGAGTTAGCTTGGTCGTTGCTATCTAATCTAATTAAAACAGAAATGCGCAGCAGCTTTTATGCAGCAGACGCCGTACGCTTACATACGGAGACACACCAAACATACATCAGGCAAAGCTCCGTATTAGTTCCGTATCAGCCAGGCAGGGATACTACACAAGTTCTTCAATCCAAAGGGGAAAAAGACGCAAGTGCCATCAGTATGCGTGGCACTTTTTGTGAGTTGCCTTTGGAGTGAAAAACTTGTCAGCGCCTTCTAGGTTAAAGCCTGGTCCCATAGCTCAGTGGTTAGAGCATTGCTCATGACAAGCTTAGTCCCGGATTTGAGTCCTGGTGGGTCTGGCGTTCTTTTCTCTTTTCAGGCAGTTCACATCCCCGACTGATCCTTTGCATTTTCTCATCATAATGATTTTTCGGCCAAGTATTGCAGGGTAGATATTTGACCCAAAGAACGGCCGATTTTTAGTGCTTTCACATGTTGGAGCGGGCTTTCAACAATTAATTTCACCATGACAGCAGAGAAAGTCAGTGCAGATTGTGAACCAGCCCTTTTATGCTGTTGACCCTGTAGCTTGTGTATATAGAAACGATCAAATCTCCGCTCTGACGTCTACCACTCTCGAGTGTGGCTGTGTACAACTTGTATGTATGTGCACAGACAGCCCTACAAGTGAATTAGGTCACTGTTCAGTTGTGTGTGTGTGAACAGGTAGTCACACTGGTCCGACACAGTTCACCAATTTCATGCCGGAGTCCATGTAGAAGCATGGGCTGATAAATCGGACTAGTGTGAAACCGCCAGTACAGAGAAAAATGTTGCGCAACTTACCGTAGCTGTTGTAGCAGAGGCAGTGGCAGATGCAGAACTTGACAGGCTTTCTGGCGCGCTGGTAGGCTTAACCTGCAGCTGATGGAAATACACACACACACACACACACACCAACACACAGACACACAGACACACATACACACACACCTGTCCTGAACATTGCCGTGAAACGGTCACATGTCTCCTCATACGAGGGGTCGACAGACATGGGGTAGGTCGTTGAATACGTTACGCAGCACGCTCCGCGCAGCCAACGAGAGTTCGGGTATAATTTGCAAAGCTGTGGAGTTGGAAACCCCTCTTTGATCGGCAGAATCTGCCACATGCGCTGCAATGAGCCTGGCAGCAGGGTAGTTTTAGCTGAGTCCTCGCCGGTGTACTATAGTAGAATGACCCCCCAGCAGATGGACCCCCGGTCATTGTACTATATAGTAGAGTGACCCCGGGGTCACTCTACTATATAGTACAATGACCGGGGGTCGTTCTACTATATAGTAGATTGCCCCCTGTCATTCTACTACAGAGTCCACCAGACTTGTCGTTTCGCACGTGAGAGACCAAACATTTCCATAGAAATTCCCAACACACGTACACCCCGAGCACTTTGAGCGAGTTTGGTTGGTTGGTTGGTTTTTATTTTACTTCGCATGAACCAAACGGGCAGAGTTGCCCAATGACATGGGAGCGAAACTAATAACAGTTTTGTTTCTGATCCTTGAAAGAGGAGAATGACAATCCCCAGGTTTGATTAAATTTTAACCAATGTGTGCATCTGTCAGAGAGAAAGAGTATGACCTCGGGGTCGATCTACACGTCTATACGTATATGGTGTAGTACTAGCAAGAGTTCAGGAGTTCACGGACCTCTACTAAAATAGCGGCTGAGGGGGGTCGTTGTACTATATAGTAGAGTGACCCCGGGGGCAATCTACTATATTATAGTACAATGACCGGGGGGGGGGGGGGGCTTCCACTACGGGGGTCATTCTACTATATGACACCGGCACTGGTACTGCCGCAACCGAGTTGGGCACAGACAAAGGAGGGTTCGCCACTGTGTCTGCAGAATGATCGACTCTCATTCGCTTAATTGTCCTTGTGCGGTAGTTGTCACCACCCGCGGGTTCGCAATACCTCGCGGGGTATCTGAGAAATTTAAGAGGAACAACGAGGAGAGTGTCGGCATCAGAAATATCCGACCAAATCTCCTGTTGAGTCCTCTACCTCAGTACACTCTCCTGGACGGCTGAGGTACCTTAGGCCACCCCAAGCCGTCCAGGATGGCTAGAAGCTGCCAAAAACTACCAGACACACACACACACACACACATTATGAGAGTGTGTGCACATGTGCACAGGCACGCACACATTTGTGCACGCGAACACCAAAAAAACATCAGCCCCAGCAGTTGGTCGTACATAAATTTCCTTCAAGCCAAGTTACGGAAAAGTTCAATACACTATGGTCAAGCCCGCAATAATAAGGCTTGAAAGTGATGACATCAAAGCGACCAGGGAGTAGTAAGTTCACATCAAATTTCTGCTTTTTGGATCCACTAAGGTGTGACTTTGCTATTGCCTACAGTGTGTGGGTTTATAGCAACCCACTCATGTCGTATTCAGGTGTGACTTTTTATTAGGGCCTGGTCCCACATGCAGTGGCGGATCCGCTGGTGCGACAAGGTTTTGCGGGAGTGGTGTCGCACCTCTCCTGCAACAAAATGCTCGCGTGGTCTCACATGATCACGAGTGCACGGCGAACGAAGCGAGCGCGCCTCTCTGACTTCCAAAAAAATCACTGCAGCTCTCCTGCAACTCAACTTCTCAAGCATGCTTTCACTTCGAAGTACGCGTGCACATACTGATACAGTACAGTACTAGTACTGTGTCTGTGGACAGAACTGTTTCATCCTTTGACGGCTTTGTGGACACATCAACGCAGCACTGATGTACTGATGATGTAGATACTAGGTGTTGGACAGATCGTTGCTTTTGTTCAGTTGAGAATCAAGCATTACCATTAGCTACATGTCGTGGGCTCGCGGTATTGCTGACTTTGAGTCTTTGTTCTGTATAATCTGAAAGAATTGATTTTCCGTTGGGTAGAGGTCGATTGGCGAGACGTTGTCGAAAGGCAATGGAGAAGGCAGCGACATTGTCGTTGCTGAATACTAGTACGGTAATCATGCAGTTTAGGGTCCCAAATTATTTCGCACTTTCCCAGTGTTCAGTGTACTGTCACACGCATTTTCAGTGTACTTTCACATCATGAACTTTATTTTCATGAAAACATGTGTACTTTCACTATGCTTCTTCTTTTCTCGTGTCAAAGTTTTGTTTCTTTTGTCAAAGTTTTGTCTCCTTTATGGAAGTTTTTCTTTGACTTTGTGGTAATGGCTGGGCGTCCCGGAGCGCCGATACGCATTGTCCCTCAGGCACACATTCTAAATGATCATGCTATTTTGCTGGAGAAGTGGACGGTGTTCACACTAGTGCCGACCTTTTCTAGAACCCAACTTGGTCAACTGGAGTTCCTTGCTGCTCGGCGGTGTATCAGCGAGTGGATTCTGCCTGGCTCACGCATCATCTCTGACGGCCGGGCCGCATACGCGCAGAACAGGAACATCGACGGTGGCGTATACCAGCACGATGTCGTTGTCCACGACGACAACTTTGTTGATCCGGACGACCGAACGATCCACACCAACAACGTGAAAACATGTGGATGCGGGCCAAGCGCCAGCTGAAGCGCAACTTCGGCACCTCGCGAGAGTTGTTGCCGACGTACCTCCGCGAGTTCGTGTGGAGACAGAGAGTTCGCGCGGAAGACAACACGTTCGGCTCCCTGCTCCGCAGTGTTCCGCGTTTTCAGTGTATTTTCACATCATGAACTTTATTTTCATGAAAACCGAGGACAGATCAGACTGGGTACTGCTGTTGAATTCTTCGTCTGAAAACGCGTGTGACAGTACACTGAACACTGGGAAAGTGCGAAATAATTTGGGGCTCTAAACTGCATGATTACCTCACAGTGGTCCCCCTGCGTGGTTAAACTTGATGGCCATGCTTGGCTGCTCACGGGTTCGCGATTTGGTCTTTGGCCGACGCCGCAGCCGTCGGTTTCAGCTTCAGCTTCTCGGCTATTCACCTATACCGCTCCGTATCTCTTTTCATCCCTTGGTCAAACGAGTCTTCACCTCATACATGATGTGTACAACTGCAGCCGTAGCCGCTCTGACTCACGTCAAAGTGTCCACTTCATGATCGAAAAATAAAATCGAAAAACACAAATCGCACACTATGTCGGGTGTCGCAGGAGCAGAACTTCCGCAGGAGAGTATACGCTCCAAAAATTTTGGAGTAGCGGATTTGAACTTTCCGCCACAGCGGAAGTTCCGCTACTCACAGTTTCCATTGTGATACACGCTGTTGTGACACCGCTGCAGCGGATCCGCAACTCTCAAGTGCATGTGGGACCGGGCCCTTACGGCCTTAGCCACCAGTTGTGACCCCACCCCCATTAGGGCGCATTCACACGCATGGATAAAACAACGGCAGTTTGGAAAGTTGTCATGTCAAAGTGCTCACGTGACGTTCCTGGCGCGTTTCAGCCAAGCAGACAAGGTCCTCTTCAAGAAGTCAAGTGCAGCTACAAAACCCGCCATGCTTTCTCTCTCTATCTCTATATCTTTCTCTCCTCTAGAACAAAAATGTAAAGCGAAAAGAGTGCCTAGCGCCTTCGAGGATTTGAACGCTTTTTACAAAGTACGTCTGAATGCAGCAAAACACTTTTCACGCCCGGCAAGCTGTACCCGTATCCGGTTTTTCCATGCGTGTGAATGTGCCCTTAGCCAACCCAGTCAATTTCAACGGCTATATCACCTTACTGTGAGTAAGACCGCTTGAAATGTACTTGGATCCATACAAAAACTGGATCCATAGGGATCCGGTATTTGAAATTTTTATAATTGTTGCTGTGCTGTTACGTAGCACTTTCAAGCCCTATTATAAACCTGATTGCAGGCACAAATTGCAGTTGTCTGATTTCCTAATCTTCAAAAATAAGCAGGGTTTTAGCCAGAACAAAAATGAAGGAGGGGCAGGGGGGAGGGCGCATTGCTGATGACATCGTCAAGCCAACTGGCGACGGTTTTCGAGTCCGTCATCAGTTGGACGCGCTTGATCTGCCAGTTGGCGGCAAGCGAGAGACCTCTAATCGTCGCCTCCAACTCTGAAATGTTGTTATGGCGCTTGTCGTCGTATGGCCTCAGCCAAGAGCGATCCTCCATAATTTAGCCGTTCACCTCGAGGGCAACTCCGATGCCGATGTCGGACCCATCGGCCCAGACCGTGCAGCCAGTAGACTCGTCAGTCCCACCGGCAGCACTCCACTGACCACGAGCCGGATCACCTTCGCGGGGGAGCTGATCCTCCCATTCGTCGCAGATCTTCAGGAGAGGTTCGGGCACTTGCTGATCCCAAGTGGCTTCAGCATTGACCATGCGCTTGATAAAGCTGCAGGCGGGTTGCAGCCAGCCACACACCGGCCACACACAGCCACACACCGGGACATGGCCGGTCGGCCGGCCACATCAGCTGAAGACGTCACGTTTCGTTGCCAGTCGAGGTAACTTCACGTTGATGTTGCCACAGCGCGACCACTGGACCTGATGGTTCTCATCTTTCTGCAGCTGCAGGCTAAGGACTCTGGATGAGGCAAACGGCTCGGCCTGCTTTGTCGGGAGGCCATTCTCGAGCATCCTTGCAGCTACGGCGTTGACCTCGTTGGCAGGCATTTTCACATCGTCAACGTAATAATCGACCGATGGAAAGTCGCGCGTCACCAAGCGGACGGTGATATCCATAAATTTCGGTGCGACACTCAACCCGAAACCCATGCGCGTCATCACGTAGGCCTTTTCCTGCCAGATGACCGTCTTTCTTTTCTTTTTTTTTACTAGAGCCACGTAAACCCGTCATGTGTGAGCCATGAATAAGGGGAGTGGTGGCGTGGTTTGGGATGCTCTGCCCACCTTGGGTCTCGGCTTCATCACAACCAGGCGCGCCAATAGCAGAGAGAGAATGAGAGAGAGACATAGACAGAGAGAGAGAGAGAGAGAGAGAGAGAGAGAGAGAGAGATAGAGAGAGAGAGAGGAAGAGAGAGAGAGAGAGAGAGAGAGAGAAGAGAGAGAGAGGAGAGAGATAGAGATAGATAGAGGGAGAGAGAGAGAGAGAGAGAGAGAGAGAGAGATAGAGAGGGAGAGAGGAAGAGAGAGAGAGAGAGAGAGAGAGAGAGAGAGAGAGGAGAGAGAGAGGAGAGAGAGATAGAGATAGATAGATAGAGAGAGAGAGAGAGAGAGAGAGAGAGAGAGAGAGAGAGAGAGAGAGAGAGAGAGAGAGAGAGAGAGCGGGGCGTCTGGTAGCATTGCAGCTCGGAGGCCAGGTGCACTTGGAAATAGACCTTCTTGATATCGAGCCATCGCAGGCCCTCAGGCTCACATTCGCGTCTCCACTTCCGCAATGTCTCCTCGCACACAGGTGCATGTCGACCAGGTGGCGACACCAGCAGAGCATTCAGGCTGCGGTAGTCCAGGCATGGACGAACTGGGGAACTAACCTTGTGTTCTTTCACCTGTGCTTGGAGCGGCAGGACAGCAGCTGGCGAGCTGTGGAGAGCATCATTGTGAGGCACAAGCCAGCCTGCGTCGATCCACTTCCTCACTTTGCCAACAAACATGCGTTTCTGCTCAGGTACGAGTTCGAACGTGATTACTCGCCAACTCCGTGGCCAACAGGACCGGCCGGTGGACTGCCATCTTCCCACTTCCATGACAGCACGCAACAACAGGCTGTATCGTCTCATGTGACTTCCCCGTTGTCCGTAGAGAGAACGGTGGCGTTGCCTCGCTGCTCGTCTCCCACGTTTGGCAGTGGATGACTGTTCGACGCTGCTGCAGCGACCACTTCGGCTCTCCCGAATGTCACGCTGGACAGCTGGTGGTCGTCATCATATTCCAGGCGCACTCCGCCAGCAATAGCAATGACATCAGCTCCTATCAAGAGCGATGATGCCACAGTGCCAAGACTATCCACGAACACGGCAGTTACTCACGCAGCAAGGCAGATGCACTGATCCATCCAGCCTTTCCAGCTGTACAATAGCCGTACCTCTCACATTGAGTGGTTTCCCGTCCGGGGTCACCAGACTCTCCATAGTTCAGTCATGCTCGACAGTCAATTCCATGGACTCTGCACATCCGATTTCCATCAGTGTACGCGTAGAGCAGCTGTCGACGACCGATCGTAGCCGCTCCCATTGGCCCTGCGATCCAGGGTAGCGTACGTTTACAAAGATGAAGCAACGCTGATCGTGCAGAGGAAATTCTCGCCAGTACCAAAATTACTGACACGAGCAAACTTGCCTTGCCTGCTGGACTGCCAGGCTCGTCGTTCTGGGAATTCGGCCTTGACCTGCCCCTCCTGATCGCAGAAAAAGCAAGTGGCTCTGCGAGGTTTGCCATGGCTTGACTGCTGCACACCAGAGTTCCGCTGTGGGCAGTTCCTACGCATGTGTCCAATTTTTCCGCACCTATAACACAGCACGGAGCACCTGGACTGGTCACTATCACCACTGGTTGCTGCTGCAGATATGCCGCTGCTGCTCTGGGTCACCGGACAATCTGCAATGGCAGATTGGACAGCTCGCACAACATCCAGGCAGCCTCTCACGGTCATCTTCTTCGATGCCATTGACAGTCGCAGCTCGCGAGCAAACTCGGGCGACAGGCCGGAAACCAGCTGCTCCAGGATCATTGCATCTTCGTCGCCAATCACAGTATGGCCTAATAGGCCAGCCAACCTCTGCAGGTCGGCCAGGTAGGCATCAGCCCACTCATCCACCTTCAGTCGCCGACTTACAAATGCTCGGTACGCTGAAGACTTGGTCATGCTGAACGATAGACTGATGCTCTTCACGACTTCGTCTTTTTTCCTCCTATCGTCTTCCTTCATCTTGCTGGAAACAAGGAGCGCGACGCCATCCAAAAACAACGGAAAATTCTTCATAGGTTTCTCCTCACTATCCCAACCCTGAAAATTCGCCAGTACTAGAAACTTCTCCCAAAACTGTTCCCAGCTTTGGCCGGCTCTACCGCCAAACGGCTTCACAAAGTTGTCCACTTTCATAGAAGCCATTGCACCCGACTCCCAACAAACCTAGTTTAGTCCCGGGTTTCGGCACCACGCTGTCAACTAATTCCCCTACTTCGCTTCCCCACGCCGTCACGCACAGACCAGCCAACTGGAACACGCCCTTAGGTGTAGAAGAAGTTAGAATACATTTTAAAATTAGTAAAATTGGTGGAAGAACCAAATGATCATCCTCTCACGGCAAGCTCCACGCGAAAAGCCCAACAGGTCAGAGCTACAGCCGCTGGAACTAGCAAAGCCAATGCGCCAAAAACAGGCTTAAACTTGGGACAACCGAAGCGCACTTACACCACTAGCCATGTATTTGGCGGGTTTATACAAGTGATACAAAAAATGTCACGGCGCGCGTGCACGCCGGATGCTAACACCTACATGTTAAGAAAAAGAATACTGCTGCATGCAGACAACATGCTTGGGAGAGTGACAGTCAGAAGGCATGCATTATATTTCAGTCCTGTTCAAAATTTTCATTCAGGGTGAACAGTCCTGGAGATGTCCTAGATAGGACATCACGGAACCCAGCATACATCTATGCTGTTCCCATAGTAATCGGGACACGTGACTCAAAACTTTGTGTTGCGTCCGAGGAAGATGAACATTTCGCACCCAAAACAAACGCAACGAAGGCCTTTCATCTCAAAAGTTGTCGTTCACCTGGCGGCTTGCCTCAACGGCTCAAGCGAGTCGAGATTCGTATCTTGCCTCTTGCCTTCACGAATATTATTTTCTTCGTTGTGGAGTACGCCTGGACGGAGGAACTGGCAAGGGAATCGTTTTGGTCGCATTGAAAATTCCAAGTGCACAAGAGGATTGGCAAAGCAATTTCTGTTCGCACGTTCAGCAGAACAGTAGCTGCTGCTGCGATGAAGTTTTTACTTTCGCCATTGGTTTCAGGCAGCAGAAGGGTCTGGCTGAAAGCGATGGTGATACGTCCATGACCACCACGCCCAGTGTGGTACGTCCTGGGTTGATGTCCAATAAAGACCGTCCAAGGTTCAGTTTTAGCCAAGAGCTGTCGTATCCAAGAAATCAAAAACGCCAACAGCAAGCTTTGGCCAAATATTATCTTCCAGGCAGTAATCTACGGGCTTAGCGCCTGCTGCCTCGTCTTCCTCCTCTGCATCATGCATGGCCAGGTTTGGGGCGAAATGAATGCACGGGGCGTGAAGAAACATTCCAAAGGCAAACATTCAAAACTAGAACCGATCGTTTCCAAAGAAGCGCCGCGTGGCTACGAGAAACCCTACATGAAATCCCCAAACAAAAGTGGCCATTCGGTCGGGTATTCGATGGCGAATCGAACATACACTACCTCAATCCCCGCCGATCTCTGATATTCATCGCCATCACGATCGTGCATCCTCCACCTACAGTCAGAAATGTTCACGCAGCACTTCTTTTCACCGCGTGTGCGCAACCGACGCTTTCTTGACAACCCTGGACCGGTGACCAATCAGCGTGCGATGCCCTAGATAGGACATCTCCCCGACTGGTGAACAGGCAATCTGATAAAGATAATTATTACTTAGCTATCTATTTCTGAGATTTAAGATTCATACCTGATGGGTGGAAGCAGACATCGTTGACAACTGGCCAGGGAGCGGAGTAACTTGGACGTTAATTGTTGTGGTCTCTCTGGAAGTCTGTGCCAGGGCCTGGTTTCGTGCAATGGTCTCCAGATGTCCAGTTAGCCGTTGCGTTCCTGAACTCTGTTCGTCTTGAACTGCGGATACTTGCTCACGTGTAGCGGTCAGTTGTTGTTGTGCATCAGTCAGTTGTTGTTGTGTGGTGGTCTGGTTGTTGGTAATGGCCATTGTAAGCTGTTCCTCTAGCGTATCACTCCGTGCGGACAGTGCTGTGATGGACATAGCTTGCTGGGTTAGCCGTTCAGAGATAGAGTCCAGTCGCCGTACAACAGCTGATGGTACGTTGGTGGTACGTTGGTGGTACGGTGGTGGTACGTTGGAAAGATGAGGCTGTAATGATCACACACAGTGTAGCAAAAACAGCCACAGCACACACAACATACCGATACAGTCACAGCACACACACCATACCAACACAGTCACGGCACACACACCATACCAACACAGTCACAGCACACACACCATACCAACACAGTCACAGCACACACAACGTACCAACACAACCACACCACACACACCATACCAACACAGTCACAGCACACACAACATACCAACACAACCACACCACACACACCATACCAACACAGTCACACCACACACACCATACCAACACAGTCACACCACACACACCATACCAACACAGTCACAGCACACACACCATACCAACACAACCACACCACACACACCATACCAACACAGTCACACCACACACAACATACCAACACAGCCACAGCACACACACCATACCAACACAGCCACAGCACACACAACATACCAACACAGTCACACCACACACACCATACCAACACAGTCACAGCACACACACCATACCAACACAGTCACAGCACACACACCATACCAACACAACCACACCACACACACCATACCAACACAGTCACACCACACACAACATACCAACACAGCCACAGCACACACACCATACCAACACAGTCACAGCACACACACCATACCAACACAGTCACACCACACACAACGTACCAACACAACCACACCACACACACCATACCAACACAGTCACACCACACACAACATACCAACACAGCCACAGCACACACACCATACCAACACAACCACAGCACACACACCATACCAACACAGCCACAGCACACACACCATACCAACACAGTCACACCACACACAACGTACCAACACAACCACACCACACACACCATACCAACACAGTCACAGCACACACACCATACCAACACAACCACAGCACACACAACATACCAACACAACCACAGCACACACAACATACCAACACAGCCACAGCACACACACCATACCAACACAGCCACAGCACACACAACATACCAACACAGCCACAGCACACACACCATACCAACACAGCCACAGCACACACACCATACCAACACAACCACAGCACACACACCATACCAACACAGTCACACCACACACAACATACCAACACAGTCACACCACACACACCATACCAACACAGTCACACCACACACAACATACCAACACAGCCACAGCACACACACCATACCAACACAGTCACACCACACACAACATACCAACACAGTCACACCACACACAACGTACCAACACAGTCACACCACACACACCATACCAACACAACCACAGCACACACAACATACCAACACAGCCACAGCACACACAACATACCAACACAGTCACAGCACACACAACGTACCAACACAGCCACAGCACACACAACGTACCAACACAGTCACAGCACACGCAACGTACCAACACAACCACACCACACACAACGTACCAACACAGCCCCAGCACACACAACGTACCAACACAACCACAGCACACACACCATACCATCACAACAAGACAACACACAGAGAAAACCAGTACAGTAATCCACATCGGGAAAGTATGATGTCACTCCAGCGTTTAGATGTGGACACACGTATACATGCATGAAAAAACTACACTCGTGTGTACAAACACGGACAAACACACAAAATGTACATACATGTACATGCACACCCCCCCCCCCCACACACACATACACATACACATACGCATACATACACCCCCCCCCCCCCCCCACACACACACCCTTATGGTGTACTAGCTGTGCTAGTACTTGTTAGCAACAATCCGAACTAGCGCACACACTGCACTGCATTGCTTTGTACTGCATTCAAGACTGACGTCATGCGCTTTGTTTTGCTGCGTAATCACAAATGGCACCAGCCCATTTTGCGGAAAAGAAAAACAAATCTTGCTTGCCCTGTTGTGCTCTTCCAGACAACGGATCGTACTTCAGCAGTGTTTCTTTTCCCACCATCCCTCCCTATCCAACTTATTCACACCATCATAATTATCGTACCCACTAATCGGGTCCACTCTCACAACTGGTGTTATCTAGCTATTAGCTGCGGCTCTGCATTGCGCTATATTACATCCATTTAGCATTGCAGCTCTACGTTGAGCTAACAGCAGCTCTACTTTAAGCTAACAGCAGCTCTACTTTGAGCTAACAGCAGCTCTACTTTGAGCTAACAGCAGCTCTACTTTGAGCTAACAGCAGCTCTACTTTGAGCTTACCGCAGCTCTACTTTGGGCTAACAGCAGCTCTACTTTGAGCTAACCGCAGCTCTACTTTGAGCTAACCGCAGCTCTACTTTGAACTAACAGCAGCTCTACTTTGAGCTAACCGCAGCTCTACTTTGAGCTAACAGCAGCTCTACTTTGAGCTAACCGCAGCTCTACTTTGAGCTAACAGCAGCTCTTCTTTGAGCTAACAGCAGCTCTGCTCTGAGCTAACAGCAGCTCTGCTCTGAGCTAACAGCAGCTCTGCTCTGAGCTAACACCAGCTCTACTTTGAGCTTCAAACCAGTTGTTTCGAAACCAGCACTCCTCAATCAAAAGATGCCTCTTTGTTGATTTGTTTGTGTGAGGGATGGGGCTAACGCATACATACACACACCCACACATACATACACCCCCTACCCCCCCCCCCCCCCTCACACACACATACATACACCCACCCACACATACATACACAGACACATCCACCCTACCCCCCCCCCCCCCTCCCCCCCTATACCCACACAGACACACCCACACGCCCCCTCCCCTCCCCCCCCCCACACACACAGACAGACCCAGAAAAGAACAGAACAAATGATTCGAAAGGTTGGGTATGTTTGATGACACCTGCCAGCTGTCATTCGGCCGCCGGCATTGGCTCTAACTCCTGTATCGATCAATACACGACAAAGGCTGTGGTTTGCGCACCATGGTAACGTTCAAATCTACAATTCTTGTATATTGGGTGGGCGACTGTGTTGTTATTGCATCGCCGGAATGCTTCTGAGAATTGAGGGACACGGAGAAAGAAATCTCAAGGCTCGAAAAATAATTACATCCAAGCAGGCACAGTGGGTTGGTCTAAGACCATATTTGAGAAACGAGAGGTACCAGGTTCAAGTCCTGCTTGGAGGCGGAAGGATTTTTTCCAACCGTGCTGCGACCCACAGTTAATTGGGAACTCGTGGCCTGGCATGAGAAATACATGGATGTGGCAAATGGGATCGAGGCCTTTGGCCTCTGGTTGGTGGATCTGATCTATCCTCCCGCACCGTTCAGGAGTCGCATCTGACGCCTGATCATGGGGTGGTGGCGTCCCACGGAAGCGGAAAGGTGGTTCTTGACCAGGGAGTTGTACGACTCCTTGTTCTTGACCTGCCCGGTACGCGAATCCCATCGAATTTATATATTTATTTATTTACAAAGGCAGAAGAGAATAGAGACAGCCGGCTAGGTCATTGTTGTAACACTGCGTTTCATGAACATAGCAAAGCTAAGGCAATCCTCAGACAACTGAGTTGTCTGAGGATTGCCTTAGCTTTGCTCAGTGCAATTGAGCACTGTAGGCAATCTGGGAACTCTCGCTATTGTTTGTATTTATTCATTTAAAGCACATGAACCTGTAGAGGGTCTAGAGGGAAAGTTAAGCCGAAAATCAAATTTTCACCAGTTGTAGTCTTCGGGGTGCTGAGTCGAATGGTCTTGGTCCGAGGAAGCTCCTTTATTCCCAATCAAACTCGCGCACTTCCACCGAAATTAGGTGACTGCACCCTACTAGATGGGGACTTGTATGCAAAATGTCACAAAATCGCCATTTCGTTCTTATAAAAGCCTGGATGACCGCAATTGGCACATATGTTGTAGTCTTTTGGACGCTGAGTCGACTGGTTTTGGTCCGAAAAGGCTGCGATGCAGCGTTCTGCCCATATTCCCAATCGAACATGGCTGAACAAGCGGTCACGTGCTCATGTGTACACCACTCACCTGGTCACCGTGCCTGCAGGGTACAACTTACAACATTTTTGGGCGAGTTTCTGTCACTCGAATTGAACCTTTGAACCTTTGAATTGAACCTTGGCAGTCCTTCCCCAGACGCGCAGAAAAAGACCTCTCCCACTATTCCCGTGATGTGAAAGTTGTCGCCTGCTGGCGTGGTGACCAGGTGACTGGTGTACGCTGGAGCGCGTGACTGCTTGTTCAACCATGTTTGATTGGGAATAAGGGCCGAACGCTGCATCGTAGCCTTTTCGGACCAAAACCAGTCGACTCAGCATCCAAAGGACTACAACATATGTGCCATTGCGGTTATCCGTGCTTTTAGAAGATCGAAATAGCGCTTTTAGTGACATTTTGCATACAAATCCCCATCTAGTAGGGAGCAGCCACCCTGTTTAAAGATAGAAGGGAGCGTCTCTACTTTCTCGGACTAAGACCATTCGAATCAGCACCCCGAAGACTATAACTGGTGAAAATGCGCACACCCCTCCCCCCCCCCCCCTCACACACACATCCACACATGCGTGCGCACCCCCCCCCCCCCCCCCTCCACACACACACACACATGCGTGCGCACACCCCTCCCCCTCCACACACACACACACATGCGTGCGCACCCCCCCCCCTCCACACATGCGTGCGCACTTCCCCCCTCTCCACACACACACACACATGCATGCGCCCCGCCCCCTCCACACACACATGTGTGCGCGCACCCCCCTCCACACACACACACACATATGCATGCGCACACCCCCCCCCCTCCACACACACACACATGTGTGCGCCAACCCCCCCCCCCTACACACACACACACATGCGTGCGCGCACCCTGACCCTCCACACACACACACACATGCGTGCACACCCCCCCCCCCCCCTCCTCCACACACACACACATGCAGTGCGCACCCCCCCCCCCCCTCCACACACATGCGTGCGCACACCCCCCCCTCCACACACACACACATGCGTGCGCACACCCCCCCCCTCCGCACACACACACACACTACTACTACTACTATAGCATGACTGCCCATTGGGCAATGTCACCCCCGGAGGGGGCCAGAGTTTGGAGTGCACCGTCATTGGCAGGACTTCTGGTGCCTCGTCAAATCTTGCTGTCGTCGGAAACGTTTCGGGCAATGCATGCAGATCAGCGGCAGTGATTCCCTATCGGCTGCAGCAAGACGTTTTCCACGGTTGCAGTTATGGCGGTTAAAACCAGCCCGGGACTTGAAGCAGCGATTGCAGCGTTGACAATGCTGGAAGCAGCAACTAGCGAGAGACGCCGTCAATGCCGTATCTGCATGTTCAGGGAGTGCAGGCTGGCAGCGATGAACTGCAAGCCCACCCTTACTACGGAACCATCGGCAGCAACTGACGCACTGTGCTGAACCACGCTGTTGGTGGACGGGAAGTTGGCGCTCAGCCAAACACTTGTGCCGTGCCTTGTCTTGAGGACGAGAGAAAGCCCGGTTGCAAGATGAGCAGAGTACGGATTTCTCTACTGCCCGAGGAGGCTGAAAAACCAGAACCTGCTCTCGCCAAGCTGACCGGTCTTGTGCGCAATCAAACCAGTTTGGAATGGACTTCGTGTCAGTAGCCACAACGTCTCTCCACCTACGCCTGGGACCGCAGAAGGGGCGCGCAGCCAACAAACGACCAAACAACAGCTGCAATGGGACACGGTCCTCCGACATCCGAGCCACATGACCAAGCCACTCTAAACGACGATGGCGCATCTTAACAGAGAGTGGCACTGGGTCACCCCAGTGACGACGTAACTGCGCAGACGTGATGCGATCGGATTGCTGCTGACTGCGAGGGATGGCTAATATTGTGCGGATGCAGCGATGATGAAAGGCATCCAAACGTCTACTATCAGCTTTCAAGGGCGTCCAGCACTCACTGCCGTACAGCAAAATGGACAAGACACAGGCCACGTATAGCTTTCGCTTACTGACTAATGACAGCGAGCGATCCGACAAGACTGGAAGAAGAGCTCCAAAGGCTTTGGAAGCCTCAGCTATGCGGCGACTGACGTCAGTAGAGGAGCGGGCATCCGGTGTCACGACGGACCCCAGATAAATGAAGGATGGAACGTGCTCCACAGTATCACCGTTGACGTTCATATCGGCTCTATCAGGCATGTTGACTTGGCTACCTGCCACGAGAAATTTCGTTTTAGCAGCGTTGACGCAGAGGCCAAAGGAAGAGGCAACCGTGCAGAATGTTTCAAGGCACTTCTCAGCACCAGGGCGGTCTTCAGCGAGCAAGACCGCGTCATCTGCGTACTCAATGTCGTTGATGATTGCGGCAGTAGACTGGCGAGCGGGCTTTGAGAAAAGGTTGCCATTGATGCTAAATTGGATGGGGATGCCAGGTGGATGGTCGCTGTCCTGCATCATTTGTGCCCACCGCTCAAGCACAACACCGAAGTACAGATTAAAAAGTACTGGGGCCATCACACAGCCTTGACGGAGGCCATTGTTGACCGCAAACGGCTCGGTAGTGCTGGCACCGACGCGCACAGCTGCCTGCATGCTCTCGTGGAACGATTGGATTAGATTGAGGAGCCCTTCAGGAATGCCTAGCCTCCCCAATGCTAGCCAGAGTGCTTGGCGTGGTACGGAATCATATGCTTTCTTCAGGTCTACGAAGACACAGAACAGCTTCTGACGGTGCTCGTACGATTTCTCGATGAGCTGGCGAATGGAAAAGATGGCATCAGCGCAGCCGCGACCAGGGCGAAAGCCACACTGGGATTCTGGAAGTTCTTGTTCCGCGACAAGTTGGAGACGGTCCTGAATGAGACGGCCACAAACCTTGCCAGCGACATCTAGGAGGGCAATGCCGCGCCAGTTGTTGCAGTTGGTCAAGTCACCCTTTTTGGGAATCGGGACGAGTTGGGCATCCCGCCAATCCTGGGGAACCGTTCCGTTGGTCCATGCAGTGTGAATAACATCAAGCAGAGCCTCAAGCAATGGTGTACCACCAGCTTTAAGCAGTTCAGGTGCAATTCCAGATGAGCCAGGAGCCTTGCAATTAGCCAGCTGGCGTATAGCCATAGTGAGGTCCTCTAGCGAGGGAAGTTGGCCGAGTGACTCATCAACTTCACGCTGCTCAATGTGGTCAAAGATGGTAGCATCGAAGGTGCTGCGAACGTTCAATAGACGGGCAAAATGCTGCAGCCAGCATTTCTCTTGCCCCTCCTGGGAGCTACAGATAACTCCGTCACTGCCACGGATGGATGGGATGGAGATAGGTGATAATCCCGAATAGCACTTCTGTATATCACGGATTGCAGACCATGCGTGCTTGCCACTAAACCGACTTGACTCAACCACATTAGCTTTACGTCCAATCCACTCACTCTTTGCGTTACGCACGGCAGTTCTGCACTTGCCACGAGCCTCGACAAAGCGACGCCTGTCAGCGTCAGAACCAGAGGCGAGCCATTTGCGATGTAAGGCATTGCGGCTATCCAGCATAGGTGCAAGAACATCAGCACACGCTTCAAACCAATCAGGCTGGCGACGACGTGGACGGCCAAGATGCTTCTCAGCGCTGGTGACGATAGCAGATTTGACGGCAGACCATTTGTCCTCAACGCAGCCATCATGATTCCAGGATCGTAACTCTGACGCAACAGACGTCGCATATTGTTCACGAGTTTTACAGGTTGCAGCTCTCTGCGCTTCCGTCATGCAGGAGTGTTTGACAAGTTGTTGCACATCAAACTTGACAGGTCTTTTTGCACGCTTGTGGCAAGCAGATGAGCGGATGCGGTATGTGAGACACACAAGGTTGTGATCTGTACTACACTCAGCTCCCCTGATGACATGGCAATCCATGCAGTTGGACAGGTCTTGTTCCCGGACCATTGCATAGTCGATGCAGTGCCACCGCTTCGAGCGGGGATGTTGCCAGGTACACTTGTGGATGTTACGTTTCATGAACCAGGTGTTGCACACAGTAAGGCTGTTGCACGCTAAAAACTGGAGAAGCTCAGCGCCAGCCTCATTGACAGTGCCAACACCATGTGGGCCACGTGTTCCATACCAGCCATCGTCACAGATTTCAGCTCCAACTCTAGCGTTGAAGTCTCCCAAGATTATCAAGGAGTCCTGGGTGGGTACGGACAGAATAACTTCCTGAAGAGAGTCAAAGAAATCGTTCTTTGCATCGCGACTGGACCGGAAAGTCGGTGCGTAGCACACCACGACGTGGACCCAAATGTCACCGAACTTTAGCTTGCAGCGTGCGACACGCGATGAGACAGCAGACCACTGATTTCCCCCTGCTACGAACGCTTGCTGTGCGCGTCCGCGTAGTACGACTCCAACTCCTTCGCCTCGTTTGAAATCGTCCGTTGGGATGGCGCGACCTGACGTGAGAACAATTGCATCCTCGACACGGAATATATCTTTACCAAACCACTTCGACTCCTGGAATCCAGCCACTTCTATTTCGTACCGACGAAGTTCACTGACAACGATGTTGATTTTCTTGTCTTCCACGACGCGCTTTCCACGAGCAGCAGTTGAAACCGGGCCATCGATGTTCACTAAAGTCCTGACGTTCCACGAAGCAAATTTGACAAGAGCACCAGCTGGGCGCCTCCGACGGGTGCCTCCAAACTCTGGCTGCTTTGAAGCTGAAACTCTACACATCCGAGGGGTAGCTAGCCCACTGCGGATGGAGGACTACGGACGACGCGACAGTGACAATATCAAACACACACACACACACACACACACACACACACACACACACACACACACACACACACACACACACATACACACACACACACACACACACACACACACACACTTGTACTTGCTCACTGCCAAAACTGGTCACGTGGGTCTCCCCGGGAGAGGGGAGAGAGACTCAAAAGGAATCTTGGAAAGATGACTCAATTGGCCATTGAACCACCCAACGGCCGACACCCCCTTTAATCCCCAAACTAGGGTGGACTTGAAATGATCCCACTTATGGGCTCACCACACCTCAGTAAGTGGGTGAGGACAAGGTGCAGAAAAAAGGATTGACGGCATCAGGGTATCCGTCCCGGGATCCAACTGCAGGTACCCCTGCCCCCAGTGAAGGTAATACTTGGTACTAGTGTGGGTGGCTAAATCAGAGTGGATCTGATATAAGCTTCACTTGCACCATTGATTACACAAGAGTTAATCTAGCCAGAAGCAGTCCATGGTTAAAACAGGTATGTATACTTCAAATAGAAAGACACACACACACACACACACACACACACATTAACTACAACACACAGCAGCTTGCGGTTAGGAGGGTGCTGGCCAGCGAAGTGAGAGGCTACAGAGAGAGCAGGATCTTGGCGGGGCCAAGAGGATAGTCACGTCCAAGGGACGAAGACCGAGAGCCCTGAGTAGCCGGAAATGAGCATGGCCAACACCCCTTTATTTACTTTATCAAAGTAAATGAGAGATGAGAAATGGGAGGTGGGTGGGTGAAACACAATGATCTGACAAGAGTGATCCGCTCACAGAACGAATCGAAATATAATACACACTACGAGCAAGGAAGAATGATTGTCGCAGAGAACGGATCGAAAATATATAGCAGAGCAAACTCTAGCAAGACATGCAACGATGCATGCCACCCACGTTAAGCTACGAGCAAGCGTCATCATAACGCAGCCACACGCCTTCCACATCGGAGGCGAGCGACACGCATGAATGCCAAACTTTAGTATGACACGTTGAGTGCCTACGACGCATGCCGCCTACGTTGAGCGTCGCGCATGAATGAATGTCGCGTTGAGTGTCACGTTGTATGACACATAGAATGCCATGATGCATAGAGTACCATGTGAGCACGTACAGCGCACGTTCATAGCAGCATAGTTTGAGTGGTAGCACGAAGCAGCCGCGTGCACCCATTAATCTGCATTATTACTATAATGCTACATTAACTACAACACACAGCAGCTTGCGGTTAGGAGGGTGCTGGCCAGCGAAGTGAGAGGCTACAGAGAGAGCAGGATCTTGGCGGGGCCAAGAGGATAGTCACGTCCAAGGGACGAAGACCGAGAGCCCTGAGTAGCCGGAAATGAGCATGGCCCATTGTGGCCAGCAAGCCTCGTACCGAAGCAACCGTGAGCGGGATTAAAGACATAGACACTGCCGGAGCAGGATCCTGGCGGAGCCAAGAGAGAGGTCAGAGAGAGGTCACTGCCATTAATCTGCATTATTACTATAATGTTACATTAACTACAACACACAGCAGCTTGCGGTTAGGAGGGTGCTGGCCAGCGAAGTGAGAGGCTACAGAGAGAGCAGGATCTTGGCGGAGCCAAGAGGATAGTCACGTCCAAGGGACGAAGACCGAGAGCCCTGAGTAGCCGGAAATGAGCATGGCCCATTGTGGCCAGCAAGCCTCGTACCGAAGCAACCGTGAGCGGGATTAAAGACATAGACACTGCCGGAGCAGGATCTTGGCGGAGCCAAGAGAGAGGTCAGAGAGAGGTCACTGCCGGAGCAGGAGGGATCACTGCCAGAGCAGGATCTTGGCGGGTAACCACCAGCCACGGGTAGTTGAGATGGTGGTGGAGCTGAACGTGTCCGAGAACGTCTTGGAATTGCCTGAGAACGTCTTGGAATAGCCGGTGGCAATCGTGCACGTTGCCCCGCTGTAGCCACTGTCACATTAGCAGCCTTGCTAGCGTTCGGCCTTCGACTGCTTGAGTGTGGCAATGATTCATGTCTCGTTGACATGGAGACGAGGCAAGGAAATAGAAAGGCAGATAGACACAGAAACAGACAGAAAAGCAGACAAACAGACACAAAACAGACAGACAGACAAACACACAAACAGACAGAGAATTCAGGGTCAGCCGGGTAGACACTGCCGAAGCAGAATGTTGGCGGAGCCAAGTATCTACAAGAGTCTGCGTCCGAGGGACGGCGACCGAGGGCCCTGAGTAAAGAGAGGGGCCACTGCCGGAGCAGGATCTTGGCAGGGCCAAGAGAGAGGTCAGACAAAAGTAATACGTAGACACTGCCGGAGCAGAATGTTGGCGGAGCCAAGTATCTACGAGAGAGGATTCAGGGTCGGCCGGGTAGACACTGCCGAAGCAGAATGTTGGCGGAGCCAAGTATCTACAAGAGTCTGCGTCCGAGGGACGGCGACCGAGGGCCCTGAGTAAAGAGAGGGGTCACTGCCGGAGCAGGATCTTGGCAGGGCCAAGAGAGAGGTCAGACAAGAGATATACGTAGACACTGCCGGAGCAGAATGTTGGCGGAGCCAAGTATCTACGAGAGAGGATTCAGGGTCGGCCGGGTAGACACTGCCGAAGCAGAATGTTGGCGGAGCCAAGTATCTACAAGAGTCTGCGTCCGAGGGACGGCGACCGAGGGCCCTGAGTAAAGAGAGGGATCACTGCCGGAGCAGGATCTTGGCAGGGCCAAAATAAGAGGTCAGACAAGAGTAATACGTAGACACTGCCGGAGCAGAATGTTGGCGGAGCCAAGTATCTACGAGAGAGGATTCAGGGTCGGCCGGGTAGACACTGCCGAAGCAGAATGTTGGCGGAGCCAAGTATCTACAAGAGTCTGCGTCCGAGGGACGGCGACCGAGGGCCCTGAGTAAAGAGAGGGATCACTGCCGGAGCAGGATCTTGGCAGGGCCAAGAGAGAGGTCAGACAAGAGTAATACGTAGACACTGCCGAAGCAGAATGTTGGCGGAGCCAAGTATCTACGAGAGAGGATTCAGGGTCGGCCGGGTAGACACTGCCGAAGCAGAATGTTGGCGGAGCCAAGTATCTACAAGAGTCTGCGTCCGAGGGACGGCGACCGAGGGCCCTGAGTAAAGAGAGGGGTCACTGCCGGAGCAGGATCTTGGCAGGGCCAAGAGAGAGGTCAGACAAGAGATATACGTAGACACTGCCGGAGCAGAATGTTGGCGGAGCCAAGTATCTACGAGAGGTCAGAGAGGGGTCACTGCCGGAGCAGGATCTTGGCGGAACCAAGGGAGGAGTCAGAGAGGGGGCACTGCAGAGAGAGATCTTGGCGGAGCCAAGAGAGGGATGAGGACAAAAAGCCCCCTGGGTAGCTAGGCATTAAATGTGTGTGGATTGAGACAGCATGTGGTAAAGAGGACACTGACAAGAGTTCAAGCAACACGGATGAGAACCAGTAAGACAGTTACCTTGATGATCTCCTTGGCGGTGTCCCTCATTTCATGCCGGATAAGTGCTCGTGCAGCAAAGGGAGCTTGCCCAAATAGAAGGACGAACATTGCTGCGGTGATTGGCTAGACCCGTGTCAGGTCGCGCCGCAGCTGTGGGAGCAAAGGTTCTGGAGTCATCCAACTTGGTCCGGGCACGGAGCATCGATGGTATTGGAGGTGACTGGCAGGTGTGATGCTCGAAACAGTAAGTAGTACTGGACACAAGTAGAGGGTGTAGATGAGTGCCATGACCAGAGAAGAACTGAACGGCTTGTGCCAACCTTCAATACGTTGACAGAGTCTGGTGCCACCAGCTCAGGGTCGTCCTTGACTGAGGTTGAGAGGTGCAGCATTCTGTGAGATGAACTCAGATGTGGCCTTGACAAGGTCAGACAGGCAGGGCATAATAACGTACGGGTGGGTAGCGAATGTGAGTTGGCCTAGAAGGCAGGCGAGTTCGTGCTTGAGGACGCAACGCCTGTCAGTGTGGCAGAGACTAAATGACGTCGGGCCAGAGAGGTTGAGGTTATACTGGAAAACTACATAAATGGTTGGACAAGAGTGGCCCAAGCAAATCTGCGGTTGGACTGAACACTTGAATACTTGCAACACGTCAATTGCTGGTTATACACACTGGTTGGGATGGCAGTGTGAACTGCAACAGTGCTAACCCCCCATACTAACTGGAGGAGACTGCAACAGCATGGGCATAAGCCAGCCTGTGAGTACGTGGGTGATGCACCTCGAAAGTGACAGGCACTAGCACCAGATTGATTGATGCACTATGGATGTGTGTGTGTGTGGGAGTTCCTTACCCCACCAATGACAAGTAGACCAGGTAATACTAATAGCAGTACTTGATGGATTGATGACAGGGCTGTACCTGGGTGCAGACGAAGAACTGGATGCTGCTGGACTGGATGCTGCTGGTCGAAGCATGCTCCAAGTATGTACACAGTACTGAGTAACTTGGTGTGGAGTTGCATAGCCTGGGGTTGCAGAACTTACTTTGAAGAAGAAAGATAGATTATCGCTGGCAAACAGTTCCCTTCTGGCAATGCTACGGCCAGTCGCTGGCAAACAGTTCCCTTTTGGCAATGCTAGGGCCAGGGCGTTGTAAACTCTTGGCCAGCACAATGCCTAGCCCAAATGACTGCATGGGGCTAAACGGTTGTGTGTTAAATGAACCAGCTGTCATACCGTCCTTGCAGCAGCGTTGGAAACAGTCAGAAATATATCAGCTGCCACAGACTGGGCTCAATGATGTCCCACTTCAGTGATGGATCGGCAGCAGCCTTGATGCGGAAGTGACAGGACAGCAACTCCACTATCCTGTGCGAAGCAATGTCGACCATGATCTGGACCAAGACGGTGAAGGCCTCAACCCATGTCGCAAGATCATGAACATGGCTTCTCTTGCTGGGAGTAACGCTGACTCGCGTTCTCTGCTGCCTGCTC